TGATTGAGAATCATCAATGGTAGACTTTAATGTGTTGTAAAATTACTATGATGTGCATAGCTGAAATTTCAAAATCTGTTTTTCAAAAACTGAATCAAACAATATGGTGACTAGCATTTTTAGCAAAAATACAATATTCCGATATATCTTGGATCATACAGTGGGTGATGAATTTGGCTTTTACTATAACTTCAAATTGTATTGTAGTAAGTGGCTACTGTGTAAATACATTAATTTCAAACATTGTGTTTTGGTTTCTCCAGACAGAAAATTGAAACCATTTGTTGTCATTCTGGAATTTTCCTAAATGCACTACAAGAATGTGCCACATATGTTGCTAAGATCATTTCGAAACTCGAAATGATTCCCTTCTTTTAGTTGAAATTTCACAATTTTCTAGAAAGACCAAAGGTGTGTTTTTTCAATGTTTAATTTGTAACAAAGATATTCTTTGTATTGAATGTTTTGCTTTAACAATTATAGGTTTTACATGATTTGAATTTATTTCTTTGTTAAACGTCTTCTTTGAACTCTGTGAAAAATACAATTGTGATTTAATAAAATTATTTAACACGTTGGTTAAATTCACACTGGTACCTGTAGATCGAACTCATAGCAAGATATAATCCATTTTGATTAACTGTCAACATGTAAAAAAACCCCCCAAAGATTATTATAGATCCAATATTCCAGAAAATAGAGCTTCAGACCACACATTAATAAGCAGTTTTAACAAAAAGCATCATAGTTAAAATGATGGTCAGAAGGATAACACATTTCTCTCCACAAATTTCCTGTATCTGACCTATGTCAATTTCTAACTTTGATCATCTAAATTACTATCTAAAGCACTCTCCAGACTTATTTTTCCAGTTAAATGTCTTATTTGCCTGATTGTGTCATTAAAATCATTTACTTCTGCTCACTTTTCCGTCATGGATCTTTAATCATGTAGACCTTGTTGATCTCTTCTCAAAATTACACACCAGATCAACCCAATTCAACACTAAATACTGACCTAACTCAAAGAGGTTTAACTCGTTTAAGGTAGTGATAGATTTCACATAACTTTAAACTGAAAAAGACTCGTCATTTCTCACTCCTGAGTCTGACTTATTTGATGATTAAGACAACCGTAGTGATAATATTATTGACTCACATTTCAGTTTCTATCTCATAAGTTTTTACCTCCAGATATTTTATCCTAAGTAAATATTTAGAACTATTACAAATATACTTCAGTCAAATGAATTTGCGTATCTGGAAAAGATAGAAATTCCAGGTGGGCCAGGCATACAAGACCGTCTGCACATATTATTAGCAGAACTGAAGTTGTAGTAGTATTATCGCTAGCAGATTTGAAAAGTTTTGTGTTCAAGTCATTTGGTCTGCATTAGTTGGAGAGGTGCCATTTAGACCTAGCTGGCATTGTTAGAATAGTTTTATTATTAGACCAGTGGAAATGAGTGGCTGTGTAGAATCTGCCATCACTACCATTCTATCATCAGACTGACGCTTTGCCATCGGTGGGCGAACAAACCACTTGCAACCCACTAGCTGTGGGATAAGGTGTTCTTCTGTGTGAAGTGTGGAATATAGCAGATTTCTTTTCGTGTGTTTCGTAGTAAGTATATGTCGATCAATGTTTTAAATCGGTAAGTTTGACGTATGAAAATGGTGGATAGTGTTCTGTAATGGTTCATGTTTTTGTGTAAATGGAATTTCTTAATATCTTGAACATTTGAACTGTTGGTGCATGTGGTGTAGAAAAATAACATAGTGTGTTTAAGACGTAATTCTTGGATTAAATTCTTTTAAGACGGGTGAAATGGATTTTATAATGAATTGTTTACAAGTTAAATGGACTTAAAAGATTCAACAGGTCGGAATATTGTAAACTTGCGTGCCGGATGTTTATATTTTTCAGTGCATATGGAAAACACCTAATTCAACAATAGTGAACTGAGATCAAATAAAATGGCAGAAATTCAAAAATACTTAAGCATTTTTCAGATTGAACTAATTTGAAAAATACTTTGAATTGTTCAGAGTTCCACGAGGAAAATTACAAATAACTTTAAAAGTTTGTGACATTTGCAGCTGTTTTGAGCACAAATTAAGAATTTGTTTATTTTGGAATATATTTCTCTTAAGTGCATAAATACTCTTGTTTTGAGGTTTAAGACTTCAAAAATACAGTGAACAATGATGTATTGTATTTTTCCTAAATGAACGAAATGACCTATAAAAGACAGTTTACAAGATTAATTGAAAATCCCATGAATTATTAATACTTTATGAACTTCTTTATCAACTGCATTGTTCAATTTTAATTCCTTTTTACAAATTTAAAACAGAAGTTCATTTCTATCATAAGAGGTTGAAAATTTTAATTCCAATGTACTCCCAAAATGAATGAATCACTTGATTTAGCACATTATGCCTTTGATAATAAGTTTAAAGTTCAGTTCTAAAAATAATGTTAGTTGATTATATTCCAATATTCTTTCCATACTATGAATGTATGAATCGCTGGATGTAGGGCATGATATACTTATCTTTTTTGGAGATAAAGTATAGTGATATATTTATATATATATATGTTTTACGCAGGAGTATGTATTTATATATACATATATAAAGGGGATGAGTCAACAAAGCGGCTGTATGAGTGAATCAGATATTCCATCAGCAGCCATATTGTGCTGTTCATTAAGGAATTCCTGAAACTTGGGGTGTTGTTTTCAAAGATGCGTCTTCTTGGTGTAGTAAAGATGATATAAAGATATGCCTTGTACTATCCCCGAAAGTTTTATGATATAAGTGCTATTTAATTAGGCAAGTCCTATAGTAAGGTCATATACCTGCTGCCATCAATCATGACAATTCTTGTGCCATTTCCTTACATTTAGAACCATTCTGCTTCTATATGGCTAATTTAGAGCAATAAAAAGTTTTGAACTAAGCCTAATTACAATGAATATATTATATCTATGTTATATCTTTATTCAAATTTGTTTGTGATATGCCAATATTAAGGTTTTGGAAAGTCATTCTTACAAGGATCACTGAAATATTCTTAAAATAAACTTTTATCCTAGATCTGTTCATAGCTTTTATAATAAATTTGTAACTGTAAATTCGCCTATCTTATTTAATGAATAATAACTATAAGTAACTCCCAAAATATGTATTAGAATAAAATAATAACATTTATTTATTAAGATTTACACCCCTAAAAATTATCGAGAAACAATCAGGTTGCTAGGTAACACTAATACATGAAATATCATACAAATTGTTATAGATAATTAATGTAGTTAATATATCATAAAGATATCAATTTTATAATATTTGTGTGAGCCACTGATTTAATAATCTCTTTATTTGATTTCCTGCAATTTTCATACAATTTGTTATTTCTGTGACTTTATCATTTAACCATCCGATCGTGCATTAGCCATCAAATGAGTAATTTGCTAGATGCATACGCCTTTGCTTTGAAAACGACACCACCCTATTTAACTTTTGGATTGCTACTAGTTTACAGGCGAGACCTTGAATACAAGGAATGATCTGTCGAACCAGCAGTAAATCACTTTGATAAAAACAAATGTCTAACAGATTAGATTTCGGAACTTTTTTTTGGTAGTAATTTTTTTGCTTCTGTAATTGATGTTACAACAAGACCTTTTGTTTCTGTGTGGTGTTGTGCATGTAGGAGGTGGTGTTCGTGTCGGAGTTGATTCACTTAACACCAGTCTTGCAGTTTGACAAAATAAATATATTATTGTGTTAATATTCCAGCCTGTGCTAGTGGCGATTTTAGAACAAAAGACACATTGACCGATCTAGGCAATAAAATATCAACAATTTAATATATATTAAAGTGCCACTATTCAGCCATAACATCCACCAGTAAAACTATACATTCTTTTTTGTGTGTTTTATGGTGAAAAATTTCTGTGTGTTTCCATGAAATAGGGTTTGGACTTGGGACCTATTTCGAAAAATGTATTTGTAATTTATGCAGCTAAATATCAAAGAAAAATATACTTCACCTTATATTCATAAAAATTAAGATCATAAATTAACAATTAACCATATCAGACAATACTGGATAAAAGAATTGCGTACTTTTGGACAGGGCACTCTAATTCGTATCATTGTCGTACTTGTATATGTATTGAAATTCAGGAATATTAATATATTTGGTGCTGTGAGAGTATTTGGATATTTTCAATGGAATTTTTTCGCATTAAGCCCATTGATATATAGAGCAAGTGATTTACTCTTTGGGATTAATTTTCTAAATTTGTTTCCTATCTACAACCTTGCCAAGGTGTAAATCTAAACCTTTATAGAGATTGTAAGGAAATACCATCTGTTGCTAAGTTTAGCCAACTCTCCCTCTATCACATCTATAGCTATATATAGCACCAAGATGCCAGTTGGCCATGCAGATCATGGGCACTGAAAGTATGGAAGGCCTATGGTGCCATACTCGCCTGATGTTCTAAATTATCAGGCTTTATATACCATGTGTTGATGGCCTAGTTAAAAGCACACACAAACACATGTATATCGCACATCTTTGGCTTTAGAAATCAAGGTTTTAATTATGTCTGTATATGTAGCAATAAGTATTGAAAGGTTATGTGTATTAGGTAGGGTGTGCTTACTTTTTCTAGAACACCTGATACAACTTCGCTTTGTGTTACTCAATGTGCAATATCTGATATAGCTTTCATTTATATAAATAAATGTCTAATCATCTAGATGATAAAAGTTTGTCTTGCCAAAGACCCCCCACATCTCCATCATTCCTGCTTTATATTTTTAACCTCTAAAAGTGTTCGTCATACATGTATTTACAAACATTAAACACTAAACCCAAAATACATACATTGCCATTGTCTCTTCAATTATAGAAACTCATACAGTAGTATATATGAATGATTTGCATTTAGATTTAGAGGTTTGTTTTTTCTTTATTTCAGATCCACGTTTTCCAGAAGTAGGCAAAGTTGAATTTGTTTTTGGACCACGTTCAGATGCATTTGTTTCAGGTAAGTGTTAATTAAATATATTAATCTTTATAAATTCTCATTCCATTGACATATGCAGGATTTCGCAAATAGGGATAGGGGGTGCTACAATTTTTTAAAAATAACTTAATCCTTTAGTGCTTGGTACATGTTAATATTTACTGCCTCAAAATACCCGAGTAAAATGAACAGCTCTCCTTGTAATTCGGACTGTCTAACGGTAATTGATTGAGTATAATGTGGGGATGTTTGGGGCAGGGAGCACAGCTCTCTGTAAAGATAGGCTTATATTGGGTATGTCCCAACCCCCAAATATGCCATTTGTTCATTTATTCAGTTTTCTTAATATTTCATCACCACGATTACTTTTCTACATGTATATAGGCCTACACTGGAATCTTGCAGTGGTTAGTTCCTTTGGTCAGTAAAGCTTATTAAAGGAAATGACATAACATTTATACCATAGCAACAACATCATAGTTAATTTCTGTATTCACATTGAAACTTGTACTTTATAGAATTCCGTAAGTTTTAACATGCTCTTAAAACGATTTTGTTATCTCTTCTAAAATTCCTCTAATAGAAGTGAAAACAATATGCTTGTCCTAACATTTGGAAACGTGACAATTATTCAGAATGGCCCTGATCACCCTTTCCTTAAAGTAAATATAATTTGTGTAAAGATAATTGAATAATTTGCCTCCTGTCATTTACGATTGGCTGGTAATTGATTGGCCAATTCTAGCCTTATTTGTTCACTAATATTCTCAGTATGTTATTAGGTGACTGCGTCCTGAACATGTATTAATGATAATGAATGACCATGTATCAAATTCACAGAAAATAGTTTCCGCAACTGGGTCAGCTTGGTCTCTTTTGTAGAATTATTAACTTAATGTCTCAGTGCATCATTTGCATATTTGAGACAATATCAAAATTTGTACACCTTAATCCACACTTAAATATACTCAGATTCTTTACTAAACATTTGATTTAAAAAAAAATCAAAATATCAATGCTAGATAATCACCTGGTTTGGATTCTACCAGATTTAAAACATGTCCATCAATTGGGTTCATGGCAAATAAAGAGAGAGAAATGGGGTTTAACGTCCACTCGACACAAACTAGGTCATTTCGGGACTAACATATGGTTTAATTTTATTTCAATAATTTGCTTGCGCGTAGGGGTCTTTAGCAGTGGGAGGAAACCGCAGGACCCGGAGAAAACCCACGAGGTTGGACAGGCGACCCTACTCCTTGTCACGTACAACCGGGGATTCGAAACCACGCCAGTTAACTCAATGACAGACTTTATGATACAGAGCGCACACGCTAACCATTCAGCCATCCAACCCCCCGGCAAATAAAGATGGTGGGAGCTTTTTACATAGGGAGTAACATAGAATGATGGAATTTTCAATCTGTCATATCTTTGTAAACCATTATTGGGTTGATATTTCTATTAGAAATTCAACTTTTATAATATTGTAATTGGCAAGGGATTCTATAGCTCCAAAATCACGTTTAGGATCATTAATGTTAATTATCTTTATTACAATTTTACACCAATTTTCTTGACCTTTAATAAGCTCTATTGATTCCAATATACATGCACATAAAGTAGTATAGGTAGCAAGATTTCAAAGCGAAAATGGGATCAAAAAGTTTTTGGAGGTTCCAAGTGCTGTCCTTCTGATGAATATACTGCAGAATTAATACAGCGTGTTCTGTAATCTGCCATCTGAATGTTTTTAATTCTCCATTTCCCATTGATTGCATATTAATATTTCGAAATTAAACATTGAGATGTGACAAAAAAAATCATGAAGGTTGACCAATGTATTTTCTTTCAGTAACTGGATTTAAATCGGATGTAACTGTGCCTGTAGATGAAGGTGATGACCAACTAATTCGATCAGATTCTTTTGAAAATTTTAATAAATTATCTGCCGAAGGTCATTTAGACAGTAAGTATAGACTATTGAGGAATATTTATAGTGGTATGTTGCAAAATGGGCGTCTGTGAATAAGTACCGTAGTAACCCGAAGGTGAAAGATGAAAGGCCATTTTATTGCAGCCTCTATATGAGTTCATAAGTGAATATCGTCCATCCCACTTTCAGAAAAACCTTTGATACAGATTTAAAAAATGGAATATTAGGTGTTTTTTTCATAGTTTTAAAATGATTCTTTATCTTAAACCAGAATTAAACTACCTACAGAAAGCAGACGCCTATATTTCAACCTCATTCAATCAAATATTCTCTTTTATCTAGCCACTAGAAATTTAAATTAACAGCTTTTTTTCCTGAAGTATATTTTTTTTCTATTATTTATTGTATATAATTTTTGTGGTTCAGGGTTAATTAATACTATTTTTTGCAAATAATTTGCTTGTGCTGAATTTTTCACCAAAAGTATATATGTATTATTATTGATACCCATACTAAAGTAATTAATTTTAAGATATTTTGTATTCTTATTATATATTAATAATTTTCACTTTTTTTCACTTCTGAAAAAGAAAATTGCAAAGAATCTTAATTTTATGCATGTCTTTATTAGCAGTGTAGTTTGGATTCATTCTTAACTGCTTTTAGCCTTAGACTGGACATAGTCCTCTTTTAAATTTTTTATACGGTTACTTTGCCGTTTTGTTTTGTTATAATCTTTTTTTGCGGCTAAAATGAAACACAAACCTACCATTTTTTGTAGCCGACATCAATGAGAACGGAATCCTCCCGAGTGGTAAATTGAGAGTATCCCATCAGCCAGTGGACCATTCGCAGGGTCCTGTCGACGGCAGTTTGTACGCCACAGTAAACAAACAAAAGGAAACATCAAGGATTGTGCAGAACGGCCCATCTCATGTTGCTAACGGCTCTATAAATTCAAGCATGGACTCTGGTATATCCTCCTCTTCCGATTATCATGGTGACTTGTCTTGTGTTTTGTTTTGTTTTGTTTTATTTTGCTTTTCTTATCATTCTTCAGATTGTAAGAACCAATGGAAGGTAGACGCGTACTTGACAAAAGATGTGAATATCATTTTGGGATTTTTTTAAAAAAAAAATAATTATTTTTCAAGAAAAATTATCATGATCACTGTGTTTTAAATGAAATAAGATTCATTAAAGACAAAAAAACAAAACAATAATCTTAAATAAATTTTACAATTGCTGTAGCCTCCTTAAAAATTTTGGATAGACATAGACAAAGTAAAAAATAACTTTTCTATTTGGTTAATCCATGCTTTTAAAGCAGAAATTAAAAAATGGAAAAGGACAGCATTTTGTTTTCAAAAGGGTTTCCAACTGATATTGGCAAATGTGATGTGAAGAAACAAAGAGCCTTTCCTTAAATTCTACCTATTAATCCATGTTTATTACAATCTTACATTTTATTTCGCTTCCATTTTCACTTATGCTTTTTAGGTGTTGTTTTCATGTTTTTTAAACTAAATTCCAAATACTTGTCATTTGTAGTAGCATTTACAAAATCATTTATATGTATTCTAATGAAAATCTTAGATAATTATTATGTATTATCATCTATGATTGGTGAATCATAATGGAGATTTGTTGCCTAACCTCAATTTGAGTATTTTGAAATTCTTGGATATCTATATATAATGCATATTAATAGTTTATCATCTGAAATTATATAATGCAAAATTATATGATAAAAGAAATTCTTGAATAAATTTATTACACAGAATTATATTTTTGATTCAATAATATTAATGTAAGTATTTTTGTCAGTTAGTAAGTAAACATAACAATATTAGATAATTAAAAAAATTTGATTGATAGAATGTAACATTGATGTAATGCTAATACATTAATAAATAAACATTACCGAATTATATAATTAAATTAGTGAAACATTCAAAATGACTATTGATATGTAACATTAATGTAATGCTAGTACATTGATAAATAAACATTACAAAATTACATAATGATTTGAACATGATAAGATATTCAAAATTACTTTGTAGCATATAACACTCTATCCATCATATCATGTGTAATTTATTAGACGTTAATATTGTAATGAACAACAACAACATATTATAGTTGTTAAGCGAGTACACTACATGTAGGGAGAACAATTACATATAATAGAATAGACATTATGAATGCAATTGGAGACATGATCAACTGATTACATGGTAGAATTACACAACTGTGATGAAATATATGATAATTAATACATTTATTATTTTATTCAAATAAGGTACATGATGCATGTAAAAATATCATACACCCACCTGAAGACCTTCCACACATGAAAATAAGTTCTATGCGTGAACACAACCTTGTAATTTAAGCCTTTGTGTAAAGATAGATCTCAAACGATGCTTGTCTAACAGGTTAGAAGCGGGAAGAATGTGACATTGTACTTTTCTGAAAATACCAGTAACGCTTCATAATCTTCATGCACACAAAACCAACAGAGCATTACCGATGACCCTGGTCTCTTTTTACATAGTTGTTAACACATAAACTGGGCCATAAACTTATACAATATCACAGACAAACTCAAATATATTCATAAACAAAATAACAAAGGCAACCTTCCCATATTTATCTTATGGTCTTATCTAAAAATCATCCGACTGTTGGTGTAGGTGTATAAATGTTTAAGATACACTTTTTTTAGAATGTAGAACAGCTTGTAGGTGTTTTAATATTAGCCCATATTTTCATACGTCAGTTACTATTGAACAATTGGATATCACATGACAGAAAAACAACAGACGCGACAACATGTGTATGTAAATGTTTAGGAATTTACGTTAGTGAACCATCTCTTGTTATTCGTTGAAATATTTTTGAAACTTTTATGTTTAAAATGACTGAATTATTAAAACAAGGTAAGAAAAACCATATTTATACATCACTGGTTTCGCTTGAGTAATTCTTAAACTTGTGAAGACTTTACAAACTTTGTTACTTTTGATAAATGTAGCAGCTTTTCTGCGATTACTGATGCATTCACATACTACAGGCTCTTCTGGCCAGGAGCCATTTTGAAATGAATATATTTAGGTGGAAAATATAATTTAAAGGGCTATCGAATTAAAAATCGCTAAATACGAAATGACATTTGTAAAAATACTTGGAGAGCAGAACATGTTGGACTGACTAGCGTTCTCATTGCAAAATGGCACCAGATTAAGCACATTCTGCCACATACACTGAATAAAAACATATTTAGTAACCATAAATGTTAATGTTTTCAGAATATATCTTACATATATGTGCATCACACAACACATTCTGAAAGAAACCCGCCTAAACACTGATAAAGGCATTATTTTAAAAGAAATAAAATATGTTAGGACTTTATCCAAGAATTTTGATATTCAATTGAGGATTAGGGATTCTTTTATAGCCTACACAGTACACCATTTGGCATGGATGATAACAATTTCTTCTATAGATTCTCCAAAAACTTAGACTCTCATGTGTGAACCCTTTCTGCCTTATTTCTTAGCTGTACAACTGTAAAGTCAGTGTGCCCTAGTCTCCGTTGCAGATGTTTTCATCAAAATGGTGATGATCTCACTAATTGCTTTAGGGAAAATGTCTTGAATAGAAATTTTGATTATGTTAGTACAGAAATGCTTGAATTGAAAATTTTCAAGGTGCAACAATAATTGCTAGCATATATTTCAGCTCATTAACTTTTGTATTAATGCATTTTACACTGCCATCTCCAAGTTAAACTTTTAAAAATGTACGATAGTAAAATAATTTATAATGAAAACATGACTAACTTTGAATATAGGTGATGAAATGTAATGTGACTTTACCAAGTTATTGGCCTATTGTGATTCTGTAACTTCTACCAACATATAGGCCTACCATGACTGCCAAATTATGGCCTATTAGAGCCCTTCTGTGACATTACCAATTGGCCTTTGGTGACTTTGCCAACTTATTAGCTTACCATGACTCTGCCAACCTAATGGCCTTTCAATTTCCATATCTCTCCCACCATTGACCTACTGCTATATCTCTATCTTTATGTGTTCATTGTTACATGTGTGTTATTAATGTAAAGATTGATTGACAGTTGACTTTGAAATTGACATTTTGTATTTTTTGTATTTCAGGATTTATAACCTCGAGTCACCAATCATCACAACAGAGTTACCATCAAACATCCAAACAGTACAACTCTCTTAATACTAATGGGCTTGTTTCTTCTAATTATAATTCAAATGTTCAGTCCAATTATGGAACTAATTCGTTACCAAGAGACACAGTAAAACCACTAGATGAAACCACCCAGTTAGACAACCTTCTACAAGATCTGCTGAATCAACAAAACTATATCTCCGGTCCGTCGAGTCCTTCCTCAAAAGGACAAGACGCCAAAACTATCACAACAACAACTCGTACCTTTACAACCTACTCGCCAACTGATTCTCAAAAGAGTCCTGACCGTGTTGCCATCCAAAGAGCAGAAGTCAGCTACAAGTTACCCGGAACAAAAGAAGAGAATCGCCAGTTATTGATCTCATCAAGTTTGGATGAAGTTGATCGCAAACCAAGTGGAATTCCTAGAAACGCATTTACGTACACTCCAACATCGCCCCGAGATCAATCGAAATCTTATCAATCTTTAGAAAGAGAGATGAGGACGGAATCGAATGTCAAAACGCATACACTGCCCTATAGAACAGATTATGAAAACAAGCAAAATGACTCTTACTACCATACGCTAGATGGCAGCCATTTCTCCTCAAATAAATCTGAAAATGAATCGTCAAATGCATGGCTACAGCAGCAGCAGCATAAATTACAGAGCAAGCGAGATCATGGTGATTTCCGATCTTTACAAGAAAAACAGCTTGTGTCTGAACTGAAAAATGCACAGAATAAATATTATACTAGACGAGCCCAGAGTGAATCGGATGAACAGGATTTCATGGATACGTCTTATAGAAGTTTTAACGGACCGATTTCTCCAACATCTGTCCCAGCAACTTATGGTCCTCCGAGAAGAGCCTATAGTACAGATGGCTTCTTCCCGGATGCTCCAGATAACCGCCAACATTATACTACACAGTCAGTCACCACAGAGACTCGATCCTTCGGAAGTAAAAGTACGTCCAATAAACCCCCTCCTTCGCCCACTCAGCAGCGGTTTCAACCCGTTGCCCCGCCCGTCAGAACAAGTAGTAGAGATTATATGCGCTCCAGATCTAATAGTAGCAGTAGCTGGCATCCACAGGCTCAGTCTGAGCCTGATCCTCAAATCATACCTAGGTCATATAGCTCCAGTCATTCGACTCCTCCTCGATCCCCGAGGGCCCTCTCCCCCACTGGCCCTCATAGTACCACCACTTATACAACTTATAGAACACTTACAGGGCCTGAAAAACCAAAGCCAGCGCCACCACCTCCAGAGAAACATTATGTGACAGAAGTGTTTGTTCATCGAGCTGGTGGGGGTAAGTTGGTGGTGTCCCCGTGCCCCTTCATGCTTTTAGTTTTAACAACTGAGTTGCCAACTGTTTCTAATTCTTTAACAAATTTTTGTGCTGCAATTCCCTTTTCTGATTTTAATTTTAAAACTTTAATCACTCTGTTTTGTTGTTTTTTTTAACTTGAGCCAACTTACCTTTTGTAAACCTTTATTCAACTAAAATATCAATTTTATTTCCATGGATGAATAGGACTACACGTCATTGCTGCAGTAAATGCATTTATTCCAATATTATGTTTTAATTAAGGATATTTTTCTCAATATGAAAATTAAAGATATTTTTCTCAATATGAAAATTAAAGATATTTTTCTCCTAGTGTTAATTTAAGATATTTTTCTTCTTGTAAAAGTTAATTTTCATTTCTTCTATTCAAATCTGAATTGGCAATTCAGTTGTCGCTTTTAGTTGTGTTTTTCGTAGTTTAGTTTTGCAAGCACCTAGTAGAATTAGGTTAGTTCTGTGATATTGGTTTCTGGCTTTAAGACTATATTTATCCAAGCTCAAGACATATTTAAAATGGAATGTTCTATGTTTATAACTGGTAAGGCCTGGATTGTTGTAGCTAGTAGCGTGTAAAGCAATCTGTTGATTTCTTCATTTATCTTTGATAGGTTTTGGAATAAGTAGTTTCAGTGGAAAGAATTCCTTTAATGGAATCGGAACAAATATTCAGCCTATGAATATGCATAATATGAATGATTAGACAGTATTTAGCAGTAAATTGTGCCATGAATGCTACAAGCTTTATGTATAGTAAATATATTTATGATCAACAATATATATCGTGGAATATGGTTAATAATGGTAGATAGGGCTGGCATAGCTGGCAGAATATTTGAATAAGCAATGCTTTCTGCAGGATTATGAGAAAACATGATTAGATAGAAGTTAAGTCTTAAGCCAGAGGATTAATAGTCAACATTTTTGACACCCTTTCACCTTCTTCCCAACTTCTTTTCCAAAATTTTTTCTTCAATTTGCATTTCATTAGCTTATTTTTCCTTTTTGATTTTAAAATGTATGTTTATCTGTCGTGTTTACGTTTGCTTTTCTAATGTTGCTTTCTCAGTTTTTCATCTACTTCGAGTTTGCCATTTTCAATTTAATCACAAGATACCCATTTCTGTAGCAGTTTTTTTGAATCCTTCATCATATTTGCTTGAGTTTTGAGTCGCTTTTAGTGGAGTGTTACACTTAATTTGACTTACACCACTCCCGTTCCTAATTAATATCACAACATTGTGACTTCCCCCCATTTTGTGACCCCACCCCAATCTTCACTTACAAATCAGGATGGTTTTCTTTTTTTATATTTTATGTATTTATTTTTAGATTATTTATCAAATTAATGGTTGCTGTTTAAAAACAATTTATTTTCTTCATGGTGAAGGACATATTTAAAATGATTATTATGTAATGATATGATATATTTAGTATATCTTCCTAATCTGATTAATTAGAGTTAGACATTTATATGGAAGCATGACATTGATGCAGTTGTGTAATTATAAGTCGGCAACCATCCGACAAATAGTTGATCAACAAGTCTAGAAATAATTTGTAATAGATATATTTACCAAAATATCCTCCATTTAGAAATAATTTGTAATATAGATATATTTACCAAAATATCCTCCGTATACAATATCCATCAAACGTGAACTAATGTTTTTAGAGTCCTCTAGCATTTAAAACTACTTTGATTGAAGACTTACCTGAATAAAACTGCTTCCGTCTATAATTTTTTTTTCAAGTCAGTCAAATAGTCAACATAGCATAAAACATTAGTAATAATTTGTAATGTAAATAGATTCAAGAAACTCTCTTCTATTTCAATAAATTAAAATAAAGAAAACCTGATCACATTCTAATCATTAATGTTGTCTCGGTTGATCAAAATCTGTTGCTTTGATTCTAATATAATAATAAAAACTGCTTTCTGTGTGTGTTCCTCTAAACTACCTTGATTATAATTGAAATTATGCATCAAACCACATTAATCACAAATTAATTCCATATTTTAAGATTTAAAAAAAAATGGCTGAACCAAAATGTATGATTCAAAAACTTTTTGGAAATGATATTTCTACTTTACATATTTTTGCATGCACAATTTTAAAATTCAGTATTCTTTTTATGTGTGGATATTTTTACCTTTCACTTACATGTTAAGTAGTGTCAGTGTGTTGCAAACCCTTAGATGTGTGTTTTTGTGTTGTCAAATATCTAAAAAAAATAGTTAAAACACCACTTAAGTATAAAAAGTAACAACCAAAAGTAGAGTTTAATTATGAATTATAACAAACATTTAAAAAGATAATTATTTTCTATTTAAGATGTCAACTAAGACATTTTTGAAAGCTTTCGAATTAGAAAATAACTGATATAAGAATATTTAAAATATTACTCAAATGCATTTACTTTTAAATTATAAGATTTTAATAATTATGAAAATGACCATGTTTACAGAAAAAAGCCCTACACAACACAATGAGTCTTATGACTCCAACAGACTGGATGAACTGGAAAGAACGTTGCAGAAGGCTTCAGAATCCATCATGGCTAGCAAAACACAGCAGACGATTTCAGAGTCTCATCGTTTTGAGAATCGGTATCAAGTGAGTAATACCAAGTCCGATGGCATGACGATGCGAAGTATGTCACCTGTCTGGGATAATCCATTTCCTGTATGTTGTAGTTCTGGTTTGGTTTGTATATATCCTTCTGTGTGGTCTTGCAAGGAATTTGACAACTGTAATAGTAACAATTGTATTGCAGTGTGTCTGATATTGTTAGTTTGACTTAGTTACAAAATCAAAATATAAAAAGGTAATCACCCTTCTTATAAGACATGAGTAAATCATGGATTTAGTTAACATTTTAATATGTTGCATTATGGCATCTAAGCTGCATGCTTTTTGAAATAATTTTAAAGGGGCTGAATTGGTTTTATCTGATCTTATTTCAAGCCGTTTGATGTGGTTTTGAGAGATAAATCAGGATGTCAACTGTGGAACATAAAATTGGTTATATTTCAAAACTAGCTTTACAGGCAAATGAAATCAATATATATAATTTATTGAGATCAATAATTTTATTCTTGACCTGAATCGTAGAGTACTACCTGTAGTCATTTTAAGTATGAACCACTTGCAAGATCACACAATTCTTTTATTGAATACTTTATTTATTATTCAACAGGCCTGAAAATAAAGGTTTCTGTTGTAACTGACAAAATATGTCTGACATTGAAAACTTTGTGTCAGAAATATTAAAGACGCAATATGTAAGAGCTCAATCTGCCTATTGTCTTTTTTTTGGCATCAGATTTTTTAAAATTCATTATTTAAACATTTATTAACATGACAAGATAATAATCAACTCTCTGGGCCATTGGATGGCTTCAATTTCAAGGAACACTGGGGCCCTTTACGAGTTTTAACAATAAAATAGATAATTAAGACAGTCTCAATTGTCAAGTACCGTTGCTACATTAATAAACAATCTACAATACATTTTGTCATAACTTCAAACACACTTATAACTTTGCACAGAATAAAGCAATTTGACTGCAATTTTCGATATATTCACTTTTCATTATCTATTTTTGAACTAGTACAGCAAGAATGGCTAGCTCTATCTAATTCTTACATAATGCATCTTTAATAAAATAAGTGAAAATACAAAAAAAAAAAAAAAATAAATAAATCGGTACCGTACAAAATGGCAGACACTGAGGAGATCATACCTGACAAAGTCTGAATCTGACAGATGCCTTATTTCCAGGCTTGTTATTCAATGATAATTATATGTATCTAGATATATTTTTTTTTGTTTATGGACATGTAAATGCATGTATATTGAAATAATTGTCCTGCACATCATAGCCTATCATCACCCAGCATCATTTAGATAAATATATATATATAGAATTAAGATATAGCCTAAATTATATTATACAATATGCAATTGTTACCTACACATTGTCAATTGCATGAATTTTGATATTGATAAAGCACTTGACTTTTTATAACTTGGACACTATATCAATGTCTAAAGTATAATGCATTCATTTATCTAGTCTTATATTTCAACAATATTTTTTAGAATTTTTATGTGCATAATATTAGTTTTATACCGAGTTTGGTGAGATTTTAGATATTTTGTGTACATAATTTATATCCTTGCAGATTAGTCATGGGTTGTTTTTTTAACATTAGAAATATGTGAACTTTTGTTTTTATCTCTAAGAGACTTTCATTTATTTTGTTTCGTTCAGTGACAGGGATTTGTAATGTGTAGATTAGTAGAAATTAATTTTAGTTTTGTATTCTTGGTGTAATGGTAGTAGTATGAATTATTCAGACTTGGTGTTACGTGTCTAATTTTACACTTTTATTTTCTTGTTATTTATATCTACTACATAGATGTATACAAGTATGATTTATTAAAAAGACCCAAAACATTCACAAACAAGATTTGAAAATAAAATGATGGTCTAATGGTAAAATATAAGTACATGGCCAAAATTCAGCTTGCTTTCCTCAACATTTTCAATCATGTTCATTATTGCAGTTTTCAAACAAGAGAGAGAGAGAGAGAAATGGGGTTTAACGTCCACTCGACACAAACTAGGTCATTTCGGGACTAACATATTGTTCAATTTTATTTCAACAACTCGCATGCGCGTACGGGTCTTTATAAGTGGGAGGAAACCGGAGGACCCGGAGAAAACCCACGAGGTTGGACAGGCGACCCTACTCCTTGTCATTAACAACCGGGGATTCGAAACCACGCCAGTCGACTCAATGACAGACTTGATGATACAGCGCGTTTTCGCTAACCATTTAGCCATCCAACCCCCCAGTTTTCAAACAAATAAAATGAACATATACATGATATACATTTCATGTTAACTGTCTAACATGCTTTTCATTTCTCATTTAAATTCACCCTGCAAAATTTATAGATGCTATTCTGGAAACAAAACCTGTTGAAACTAAAACAAAATTGTTTATATCTAGTTTTAAAAATGTTCCTTTAATGCCTTAGCAGGTTAAAGAGCAGCCAGCTCCTAAAAAGATCAGTGTTATAGAGGAAGACAGAATCTCACTTCAGCCGATTGGTCCTGGTGTTCAAGTCTTAGAACCCGAGACTGGTTCAACAAATACACTCAATCGTCCATTAACACCAGGCTTCCCTACATCACCAGGTAAGGGGAGATAACTCCACATTTTGTAATTTGATTTTAACCCATTTTCAGGATTATTATGTAGGATAAAGTAAAACTCCATAAGGATAAAATATAAAGTACTTAACTGTAATTGATTTGATGTGTCCCTGTTTGTTTGCATGAACTCCCCAACCCCCTCTATCCACTTTTCGAGTGTTACCTATGATGTTCAGCGCAAAGAAGTGAATTCAGGAAAATTTAATAAATTTCTTACTTTGTTTGTGCTTGAATATTATTTATTTTTGTTGAATTTGAAATGTACCTACTAATAAAACATGCCAAAGACAATTAGAGGATAGTGTTTTGAATGAATAATTTATCTTTTTTAGTATTTTAACATTCATTTAAAGCTTATACTCTATTATAGATAATTTTATTCCATTTTACGTAAGCATCTTTGAAAAAAAAATAAAAAAAATTGAACAATAGTAGAATTTTTTAAAATTTTTACTAATATTTTAAATATGATCATGTGCTTTGAGATTCAATTTGATTTTAGTTTTTGCTTGTTTCAAAATAAACCATTTACCTGTAGCAATGCTAACAGCTCTCATAATACCGAAAATGGTGTGTAGGAGTGCTTGTTAGAGTTTCTCAGTAAAAAGTTTATAATTGTGCTATAAACCATGATTTATAACAATGTTTGATGCATGATGTGTTCGTTGTAGTGACTCCACCCTTCCCAGTTTCTCCTAGGACACCATATGCTAACGCAGGTAAAGATTCCTCAAATATAGTATAAATTATTATGCCATATTTTACCATTTCACACAAAACAAATGCAGACATTCAATTGCATGACTTTGTTCACTTAAAATTAATCGTTGCATTGGGATTTTCCACATATTACCTTCAAATCAGAGAATAATTGCATAAAGTGTTAAATGTTATATGACTATTATCATTAGGTCTAATATCCAACTTAATGCACCTTTGATTGCAATTTCCAGAGCTGTTTACTCATATAATTACTCTTTTGTTAAACAAATTGGTTCAAAGTTTGATTGCATATTCAAAAACAGTTATTCTCTGATATTCTTATTTTTATGTCATTTATAGTCTTTTTGAAATGTGTGTTAATAATAGTCTGGGTTTGAGGGGAATTTTCTAAATGCATGAACAGTACATGTTGTATACTAATATTTATAAATAGCTTAGTGTAGTATTATATAATGTTTATAAATAGCTTAGTGTAGTATTATATAATGTTATAATGTGTATAAAAGCCATATACTTATTAATATGATATATGCAATATATCCATAATTATTATCCATTATATATATATATATATAATATGCTTTCAAAAAATATGTAGAAAGAAGTTATTTATTATTAATGCCTATTAAATACTGGTACTTTTGTACATACATATAATTAGTATTATCAAAAAATGCTTATAATATACCATATTAAAAACTATGTAACACAAGGCCACATTTACTATAGGGCATTTGGAAAGGGGCAACTCTTACTTTAAAATTTTAGAGAAATTACCGGTAGACATATTATATCAAAAGTATAAGTGTGAACTACAAAACTTTTCATATCAAATAAAAACAAAACCATACAAATTATTCAGACAGTTATCAAAAAATTCTTAAATTTTGCCCTATTGTAATAATATAATCCTGATTAATATCCTAAAATCACCATTATTTGACTAAAATTTAAAAAGTTTTAGATTAATACATATAAGCTTTACTTACATTCCCAATTGATAATTATATATATATATGTAATTTAATCCAATATAACAGGTCGGAGGTTAAGTTTTAGGTAGATAAAAGGAATAAGCATGCTCTAATAGTTGCATGATCATAACCAGTTATTATACAGAATTAACAGGTAGTACCCTGTATATTTGAAATTTTAAAAAATAAAAGTATTTGTCCAACATAAGAAATTTTGACTAAAATGATAAGATAAATATTAAAGGTGACCTTCTTCCTCCAGTTGAATGGACTCTTTAAGCATATATATTATTGAGATAAGTTATCATTATTCAAATCAAAGTCATTCACGAATAGTATAAAAATATTGATTGCATGATAAATGATATTCAACTATTCTGACAGTTTTGATAGAATAATAAAACTATAGTAACCTAAATAAAATAGCCATGACGTTTATTTAGTAAATAGTTGAATTCACTATGCAATGTTTAAATCAATATTGTTTTCTACATAATATGGCTGTAGTGTATATTTGAATTTGTGGCTTTTAAACATATTTTGTGGCATTTGGTGCTTTGTATCAGAATGTATGAAGGAAACATTTTTGCTGTGTATTTTAAGTATGGTGAAAATAAAATATAAGTTATTTGATACAACTTGAGGGCAAGATGGCTTTTTGTCAGGGCCTAAAAATTGGTTAATATGTGATTATTTTATTTGAAAATAACCAGATTTCTTCATCAACAAAGCACCAAATGCCATTTTATTTTAGATTTTAGCATGTAGCCTGATTATTTTTGTAGTGATTTAAATGCATCTTGTTGCTTTTTCTTTGGGTTTATGCAGAACCTTCTCGCAATCGTCTTGTCTCCTCGCCAACACAAGCTACATCACAGGTTGCTATAAGAAAGGTCTCAGAGAGTAGTGGGGTCCAACCTGAATTTAGACTCTCAGACCCTCTTTATGCTAGCATACCAGAAGGACATCGCAGAGCTAAAGGTAGAGATATAAAAGATGCATTTGTCAGCACTCTAAATCCTTTGGTTGGTTAATGTCAGGATTTTCCAAATGTTTTTACATCAAAAATTAAATGCTGTTTTTAGAATGAAAACTATTTTCAAAATATCAAATTGTAATGAAAAGACATCTTTATCTAATTAATTCTTGCTGTGATGAGGATCTGTCTTTGTGATTGTCAATTTGCATTAGTTCTGACACATAATCAAAAGATATGCTTATTTTTGTTAGGAAAAGATAGTATTTATTACCTTGATATGCCAGTAAAAATTACCATGGTTTTGGTGTGTATGCAAATGTGCCTTAGTATTTCTGGAATTTGACATATATATATATATATTCAATATTAGTACGCTATTTCTTTGTAATGCATACAATCTTATTTTATGCAACTCTTTGCAAGCATTGTTTGCTTTATTTTACACTTGAGTGGAGAATGATGTTACGCTTGCTAACCTATCATGCCATTGGCCCAAATGATGTATGTTGTTACTTCTGTCTGTTATCTGCCTGTCCAGCTAAAACAATTATTCATTTTGGACTGTTAAATGGATTTTTCAATAATATTTGGTAGGTATGATGATTAAGGGCTATTTGTCAAGATTTGTACAAATAAAGGTACTGTACAGGGGCAAGGGCGCCTAACCCATTTAGAAGATCACAACCCAAATTAATGAATATTGCCTGGGTTGTGTTTATTCAGATTTGTTCAAACGAAATTCCTTTGGTCCATGAACTAGGGCATGGCAGCACATCAGTAACTTGAAGAAGCCTATTTTGACATTTTTACCAAAATTTATATTTTTTAATTTGTTTAATTATTTCTTTTGATTAAATGAAGGGAATCACAATAATAAAAAGGTCTTACATACATACTAGGCAGTCATTGTCTTAGATTTTGGTATACTAATTAGTAGAATTCTTGTAGACGGTAGGTTAGCTGATTGGTCAGATTAGGATATATTAATATATTTTTGCACTTAGTTATCTTTCTTCTTTTGACACATTTTGGGGTTATGGTAGAAAGGTTTAACATTTTCTGTACTAACATATTTAGACGTTAAATTCATTTGATTAGCTTAGACACTAAATATTGAACTTCAGTAGAGTACTTGCTTTTTCTCCAGATATGTGGGAGAAATTGAGACATGAACAGTTGAATCATCAAACAATCTGTGGCTTCTGTGCCAATTGGTGTGCTCGTACAGTTTTTAGTCTTGAGTTTTGCCCCGTACAGAAATTTTATGCTCAAAATAATCATAGATTTACTGTTATTTAACAAATTTGTTATCTATTGTTTGGTAGGTAGTGGAGGTGGACACATTATTAGTCCAACAGGTACACTTCAACATGGACAAGGAGGTCAGCATGGACAGACGGTACAGTATCAGACAAGCAATGTTCAACAATACCAAACACAGCAAAATTTCTCTAATCATGATGGTCTATCTATAGATACCAATCATCAAGGTACACTACCAAGAGGACCTGGTTCTGCTGGAAGGTAATATAATTTTACTGTTACTAATATTTTCACAACAAAATAAATAAGATTTTCTTGTGGATTTATGTCTAGTAACAAAGTTTTTGTAGCTTTATGTTTTTTATTCTTTTATATTGTAGTTCAATATGAGCTATATTTAAACTCTTTGATAGCTATTTTTGTGTACCATTTTGGTGGGTGGAGAAGGGGGGGAAAGGTCTAGAGCATGTTCCAAAGCACTGTCATTGAGTCAAGTGTTGTGTATTCAATCCCAGGCTTGTGACAAGGAGTATGTTAGTTAAAGAATTACCTATGTTGTGTTGTGCATCAACATCGCTGTCAGGTAAATAGTGTTCTCTCTAACATTGCAAATGAACTGTACAATAGAAATGTTGAATATTCTAAAAAAAAAACAACCTATATTTAGTTCCATCTTTGGTCTGTAATCTTTGAAATATACACTCAATATGTGGAATGGAACTAATTGGGTTCAAAGTCTCATTAACACAATACTTTCATCATTGTGTGTTATTTTCTAGTGCTGGCACGATATATTGTTGAATCAATATATCGCGATTCACCTCCTCATATTTCGCGTATTGAATTGTGAGATGCTGAAGCGATGTATAGCGATTCTTTTTTTTAAGGTTTTTTGTGGTCGCTTCAGTAAGTAACCTGTCACTTTTAATTATCCACATCACACATTATCGATAGGTACACAAATACTCTTAAATTGTTTGGGTCCTTATTTTGATCCACATCAATATTGTGATATAAAACAGTTTTGCTTCTTCGACATCAGCAGGCCTAAAAATATCAAGTATTCATTTATCCTGTTGTTTTCTTGGTAAATATTGACCTGGTTATGAATTGTGATATGAATCTTATCGTAGCACCTGAATGACAATATGTGTCGTATTTTCACTGCAGTGGCAATACCCAGCACTATTATTTTCATTTCTGTTCTCATGTGTGCAATGCAAGGAGACTTGCTAGGACAACAGTGGTTTTTTCTACTCTTTGTATTGCAACTACTGAACATCCATTTGTGTGCACATGGGTAGACCTTGGTTTTTCATGCCAAGTTTTTAACACTTTCATTTTCCGTCGCGACACCCTTGACAAATGAGACCTTGAATAATCCTAATCCTGAGATATTATACATGAAATACCAGTGCCCTATAGCTTGACTACTGGCACCAAACATGAGGGTCTATAATTGAATGGATTCAGCTTAATCGTCACTTGATGTAATAAATATGTTCATTATTGCAGCCCACCCTCACCATCTAGTGGATTAAACACCCTCCGTTCTCAGCTGACGACATCACACTCTATGTCAGGTGGTGCTCTCTCACCTGGTCCTCACTCAATGACAGGTCAGAGTTCACCCAGTGTATATTTTGGACTGTCACGACGCGGAAGTTTGTCATCATTAGGTGGTGAGTATTGTTAAAGTTTGTATTATAAATAACTCCATAACATTTATTGCAAATTTCAAATTAGTACATGTTTAATTGGCAGTAGTTACTATGTTCCCTGTTCAATGACATGTGTAGGTGGCATGTGGCCAAATTTTGAGAGCAAGAAAACCATACAAGAATTGTGTTGACAATGTCATAAGGATATAGATATTAATTTATGTGTAGGCTATACATGTTCAGGGTCAAAAGATGTATGTTTTCGTACCATGGCTAATAATGCCTAACATTTTATTCTTACACACACTTATATACATATTTATAAAAGCGTGAGTAATCATTGTCATGGAGAGTTAATTTACATTCCACTATAAGAAACTGTCAGTCATGCAAAACTTCCCTTTATCAATGGGTTATTATGACTTATCCCTATTTGTCCTCTATGAATAGACCTTCAGTGGTTGAAAAGTAAAGGGACATTTTGTGATAGAATTTTCCAATGATCTAACTCTGATCCAAATTTCGGAAATAATTCAACTTTTAAATGTGTTACTTTTCATTTCTTAGTAATATAGTAATATAATTGATATTAGATGTTACTATAGAAAAGGTCAGCCAAAAATTGAAACAAAAAATGACCCTCAGCAAAGTGTCTCTTGACAATATTATATGGTACATAAGATAACTTTGTAATTTGAATGTACACTGTATGACTTGCTCTTTTTCACATTTGATTTGTCCAAGTCTCTATTTAGACTAGATATTGTCTGTTAACAATGTTTTATCGTAAAATTTCAGATATTGATATGGTCCATACCACACCTAAATTTGTGAAAGACACATCTAAATTCTGGTACAAACCAAATATCACAAGAGAGGAAGGTAAGTACAACTACTCACTCATTTTTAGTGAGACATAATTTACAGTAGGTATATAAAAGATAGATAAGGATGATATATTTGATCACCTGCATACATGCATTATACACCTTGTGAAATATCAAAAAGAAATTAGAAAAGATAAGTGATGGTTGACCCAGTCGAATAGGGAGTACAAATGCATTTATTTGTTGAATGATAACTGGATATTTTTAGAAATTGCCTAAAAAGAATGAAGAATGTTTGGAAATGATTTAAAATGATTTGATTAAGTCCAAAAATAAAATGGCTGATTGCATTGTATTTTATTTGTTGATTTGTTACATGGGGCGAAAATCTAATATTACGTGAATAGGTACAGTCATTGTTGTCAATGCAGGGTGTTTTAAAATAATTTAAATAGCTAGATCTCCTTCATTTGGATCCAAACTAAAAATGTCAATTTCATTGGATATTATGTGTCCATTTGTTTTGTGAATCCCACTCTAGGGAAATCACCATACTCACTATGACGGTGGAATAGTTCAAACAAGATGTCCTAATTTAAGGTTGCCTTTAAATACTTTAGATATTGACCATTTATTGAAGGAAAACGAAGCCTAATTCATTTTTTATATGCCCACATTTTTATGAAGATTTACATATGCATAAAGTGATTCTTCACTGTCAAAAATTTGGCCTCTGGTATCACACACCTCCAAAAACCACTGTACATTTAAATGTATGCCGAAATAACATGTTTGTTTATTTTCTATTACAGCTATTGTTCTTCTCAAAGATAAATCACCTGGAACTTTTGTTATTCGTGACAGTAATTCTTTCCCAGGTGCTTTTGGATTAGCCCTGAAAGTAGCCACCTTGCCTCCCAATGTACAGATTAAGCCCTCAGGTTTGTTTGTTTCTAGAACTTAGAATAATATCCTATCTAATATTGTTTCATTTATATGCCCTGCAACATTTGGATACAAAATGTATTGCATTTGCTAAATTATATATGTGAAGGTATTAAACGCCCTAGAGTAATGCAATTTTAATTTGATTTTTCAGGTGATCCTCAAGCTGATCTTGTCCGCCATTTCTTGATTGAACCCACACCTAAAGGAGTACGTCTAAGGGGCTGTAGCAATGAACCCGTTTTTGGTAAGTTTCAATTCAATAAGTTTATAATACAGACTGAGGCTGTGTATTTCATGTTAACTTCACCTGAAGCAAATAACTGGAACCTAATAGTTGTGATTAAACTTTAAGTTAACACCTTGACATAGTAGAATATAAAAATATCATATCAAGGTGTTACAATTGTTCTCAGATAATTGAATATTGAAAAGTTAGGCAGGATAAAATTGGATATAAAGTAGTATTTATGAATTGGCAGCAGTGTATATAAAATGGCTAAAGTGACTCTGATACGTACAATTTTAAAAAAAAAAATCTGTTTCTTAAATTACTGATAAAGAAGACTGATTTATTTTGGTATATTTGTGTATTTCAGGAAGTTTAGCAGCTCTCGTATATCAGCACTCTATGACACCATTAGCACTGCCGTGTAAATTGGCTCTTCCAGACCCAGGTCAGGTGTATAGCAATAGCATGCACCAGAATTGTAAGCCCTATATATGTTTATAGCTAAAGAAACAACGCATCTCGAGATCGGATAGATGTTATTTTCTTTTGGCAAATTAAAAATATTCAAAACTGGGGTTCCATGTAGAAATTGTTGGTAGATGAAATTGCAAGAAGATTAATTAAGGGCTAGTGTACAGCAAAACTGCCCTCCTCTCATTGCACATATAAGTATAAAAAAATGAAGTATTATTTTTACGAAGTGCTAAAATCTATTGCTTTTTGTCCGTTTGGCTCATTCCTACCACAAACATAAAACTTGAAAGAAAAATCTCTTAAATGTCGTAAATAGCACTTGCTATAAATCACTTGAGATGCTTTGTTTTCTTTTATCAGCACTTTGCATGTGACATTTTCTGTATCTTTAATTGCATATAGATAAAAAATGAGGTTCCATAATGACCTTCTAGGTCAGTTATTTAGGTGATAATTCTTCAAAAGGTACAGAAAAAGTCCATTTTATTTAGTAATGTATCATCATTTTACTGTTCAGCTTAGGTTTTATATGAAAATAGTTTAGAATTGGTGTGTTGTTTTTTTTTAATTTAAAAATATTTTAATTTTCATAGATTTAAATTTTAAAATTTCTAGTTAATGTTGTACTCTCATATATGTAGATGTTTTAATTCTATATTGTCGTAATAGATCATAAATACAGATAGGCCGTGGAAGATAAGTTCCATATATGGTCATTTTGAAATCCTTTGCATGGAATTTTTGGAATAATGCTTATTAATCCGTTTTTAAATTTCTTTTTCTATTAATTCATTCATTTGAGATAATTAACTAATTAGAAAAATAAGTAGATTAATTAGAAAAATCACTCTTTGTCATCTTAAGACCAAATGTAGAGAGTGTAATCATTCACTTCAGTTGGGTGTCGCTTGTGCTTGCTATTCCTTTGTGAGGTGTTGGGCAACTAAATTCTCTGTCCTACATTAATATAAATGTTAGAATTTTCACTCTTGCACTTATTTTCAAAATGTAGAAATATCAGAGATTTAGAAATTAGATTAATTTTAGTTTTCTTAAAAGATAACACATCTTAACTTTTGTGGTAAATTTCATTAATTGGATCTAAATTTTGTGTTTGAAGAAGTTAATATAATTTTATAAATAATGCAAGAGTGTAAAAATTTTGATTTGCATTTATATTACTTGTAATCAAATGTTTCTATTTAAATCTACAAAATGGAATTTGAACTTTTTATTTATTATTATTTCTTATCACTTGCTGCAAATAAATTTCAAATAAATTAAGAACTCTAATTTATTATTTTATACTTTATTAAGTTATGAAATGTTTAATTATAAACTTAAAACAAAATTTGTAATTTCAGTTTTTTGCATTCAATTTCAAACACATTGTACTTCAAATTTTTGACTTAGATTTTCCAATTTAATTTGCTGCAAGTGATATTTATATTTCCTTTAAAAATGATTTGAAATTTGCATGCTTGTATATTTATGACATGCAGCTTTGTGGAAAAAGAAAAATGTCACTTTTTGTACCACAGGTAATTGTGATGTAATGTAACAAACAGAAAAGGTTAATGAATATTGATTAACTCATGAATATGCATGAAATATTTATTGGAGGACATAATACTTTTCTTTCCTCCCCCTATGGTTGCATGCTGTTGTGTCTTGTAGTTATTATAATTTCATTTTCTGTGGAAAACGGCTTTCTCTATTATTTTAAGTTGTTCTATCTTAATTTGTAATTTTAAAAGCACCATGCACATCACAAACAGCATGACAGGAATGACCTAAAATAGTTATAAGAGAAAAAAATGTAATTTTGACTCATATGAAAAGAATAAGTATTACAGTAGTAGACATACACTGGACATCATCGTAAAAGATTACTTTTGGCTAAAATTCAGGTGTTTGCCTTAGCCTGGTAATTAAACTCTGCTTGTAGGAAACAAGCAATGGGAAAATTTCTTGGTACCTTCAAAGGAAAACAAATTTCGCATGTAAATATATAATATATTTTTCAACCCCAAACAAAAAAGAAATCTCTACTAATTACTAAAACTAAAAAGTGCATGATACTTTCCTTTTCAATAAAACGTATAGCAATAAGAATAAAAAGCTTTTGCAATGAAAATGTCAGTTATTCTCCAATTAAGGCTTGGTTATTTGAAACATTGTCCATTAAAAAAATGTTAACTTAAATTTTTAAAGAATAATCTAATTGGTTACAGATTCTGGAGGAGAGCTCTTCACTTCTGAAAGTACAAGAACAACAGAGATGCCAAGTTCCGCGTCTGCTTTGTTACAGCAAGGAGCTGGTATGTCCTTAAAATCTCCCGCTAATTACGATATACTTCACTAAATATATTACCTCAACATTTATTAGGGTATTTTTATAGTTGACACAAGAAAATTATTTATACAAGTAAAGTCCAATGAGACATTTGACATGCTGTCATTATCATCATCATCATCATCATTGTCATGTATATACCTTCTCACATGCCAAGACTCAACGTTGTGAACTTTATTTTCTACCCTGAAAAAAAAAGCATTGGCAGAGTTAATGGGAGTCTATGTTTTATATAAGCATGTGTCTTATACACCGGGAATGTGATACAATGATTACTTTAGTGAAGGACATTTACATTTACTGTATGAACTGTTGGATTTAAATCCTGTCTGATCTTTTGGGATTTCAACAGTTTCCTCCCATTGCAAGTAGGTTTTTAAAATAGAATATATCCTAGAATGACCTAGCTTGTGTTAAAGAGGACATTAAACCCCATTTGCCTTTTCCCTCATTGAAAATTCACCTTTGCAGTTGTCTGCACACTTCTTTATTTCATCTGGCAACTGCAAAAACAGAGAAATGGTTTATGGTTTTGACTGATATTATTTGACAATATGATTTTGTGTGAACTCTTTCTGCTTTCATTATCATCAGCACCACAAGCTTTTTATGTTACTGATTTTTCGAATATTTTATTTTCTTCTGTTGTTGAGTTCTGTACAGAAGCTGAAAAGGGCTATAATGTTATTCTTCTGTTTACTGCGATTTTAAGTGAAATTTTAAAGATGGGTTCCCGTGTACAAACTGTGTGATTTAATGGTATATATGGACTAAAAACATATTCAAACTAATTAATTTGTCATAACTTTGCTTCAAATCCTTCTCAAACATTGTAATTTCAAAGGAATGTCCTGCTATAAAAATTCGATCAAACCAGGTCATTTTTACGTCACATGACTTACCTCTCTTGGAAGTCAGAGAATTCATTGCATACATAAGACGATGTTGTCTTTAATCGCTTACTATTTATCACAAATATCGAATACTAACTAAATTCTAGGATAATCCACTACCCGCGTCTTTCTCCGTCATTTTTATCTCAGAAAGTGTTGTACGTCTAACTCTTCATAAACTTTATCAACTTGTACATCAAGCGCTCAATGTTCACGTGTGACCTTTGACATCACGCGTGCAGAAATTCTTAATCGTCCGCCTGTAGATTAGGGGAACCCTTACATTTTTGTCCTGTATACACGCTCCATGAGTGTTTTTCGGGGAATCTAGTAAGATTGGATATCTCTACTTTCCATATATACCAAAATTACCATACTTTTATTGGAAATAACCACCTGATAAATACTTTTCTGGGAACCCATCTTTAAGATACTAATAAGTTGAAATTAAAGTAAAAAAAAAAAAGGCCTTGTTTAGCTTCTGAAATTCTGTCATAATTCAATCTGTACTATAAATTATGCCGATCAGCTTATTTTAATTAGTTAAGATGGTTTTATGTTAATATCTATCAATTACAAGAAAAACATGTGATTTACATAAATATCATTAAGTGTATCATTTCATTCATATAAAATCATGTAAATTGAGAACTTGTAAAATAGGTGTTGTAAAATCTCAATTCTGAATATCAAACTCAAAAATCCTTTATAAAGTAGTTTGTATCAAGGATATTTATTTATTATTAATCTGAATCACACTAACTCTCTACTGTTTTACTTTGCAGCATGTAATGTGATCTTCATCAATACAGTAGATACCGAATCTTTAACTGGACCTCAAGCTGTATCCAAAGCTATTAAAATGACAATGGACAATCCACCTAACCATAAAACAACAATGGTGCATTTTAAAGTGTCCAATCAGGGTATCACATTAACAGATAATCAAAGAAAGTAAGTGGGGCCTGTTTTATAAACTTGACAATTTTGGATTCAAATTCCAATGACAAAAGTGCAATTTCCGAGAAGGGATCTTAACCTATTGATGTCTGCCTGACTTTCATTCTCATGGTGGGTTTCCATCAGGTTTTGCCCTTCATGAAGTCAAATCAATGTTTTTGATTAGGAAACTGGATTTGGAATTCGCATTGTTGAAAATAGTATGAAATAGAATATCCTATCCTGACAATAGCCTTCTTCTCATTTAACAACGATAATGTCGATAATGCCGACGGGTCGGTTGGTTGTACAATGTAATGGCAAGATTTAGAAACACTGATTGGTTCAAATTCTCATCTCTAGTATTATAGACAAGAACATACTATCTATATAAATTTAGACCAACCCTACGATTAGAAGTCAGATTATATTATATTTCTATGTAATGAATCTTATTTTAGGTTGTTTTTCCGACGTCATTACCCTGTTACGGCTGTTACCTATTGTGGTATGGATCCTGAAGACAGAAAGTAAGTTGTATAGATTTTATATGCTCATATTTAATATCCACTGTCCATCCACTATATCTACTCAACACTCAGCAGATCAGAGGTTTGACATATCTTAAAATTTGCAGGTATTGTTTACTGGATCAGGCGGAGAAACCCTATCGAAATTCTTGAAGTTATATTTTCATTCACTTTCACACCAGAGTGGAGTTCTTGATGGAATTTTGGAAAACTTTGTTGAATTGTTGGTTAGGTTTTTTTTTAGAAATAATCTTATTGAATTGAATATTTTTTGATCGTAAAATCAGAACATAATTTTTTTTTCCAGTCGTATTATGCCTTATAAACCTTTGGAATGCTTTGGTAGGATTTTTCAAATGGGCTATGGTGGAAGGTGGAACCTTATGAAAATTAAAATTATGTATGGAATATTATTCATTGAGGTTTGAGTGAAAAAGTGCTAAAGTGTTATCATTTGTTTGATCCTTTTTCAGGTGGAAGAAAGATATTGATGTATTAGGCGCAGTCCCTGATGCTAGGTAATTTTGTCTATTCTTTTATATCTTCTATTGGTAAAAACAATGTCAATATTGCTTTTGACATACATAGTTAATTGAGAGTTACAATTAAAGGCAATACTTTTTTTATACGCCCACATTGGAATCATATATTGTTGTCAGTTCATGTCCGTCCGTCTGGTATTCACAATTGCTGGTGGATGTTCTAAAGTTATCATCTGATTGACCTGAAATTTATACACAGTGTTATGTTCAGGAGATGAAGAATCCACAAGATTTGTTAAAAGATGATTATCTCCCTGTGTATGCTTAAAGGCTAAAGTCATTATCTGAATGACTGAAAAAATTATTCACAGATGTTATATTCTGCAGGATTTTCAAAAATATTCAATAAATACTTCCAGAGATAATGACCTTGACCATCACTGCCAAAATCTTGAGGTTTCAAGTGGCTAATGTTCATCAGATAATGTATAACAAATTCCTTAATGGGTTGTTTTAGTTTTTGGTTTCATGTAAATGCTCCCATTACCTACAAAAGAATAAACAACTCTTGTGGAATTCTCGAGCCTAGCAAACTATCTTTTAAAAAAAAAATGTTTTGCTTGTCCTCATCAAATGTGCATTATATATTGTTATCACTTTTTTTTCCAGAATATTTGGTTTTGTTGCCAGGAAACAAGGAGGAATCTCAGATAACTCCTGCCATCTTTTTGCTGAATTGGATCCAGAACAACCGGCTTCAGCCATAGTTAACTTTGTGACAAAAGTAATGATTGGTCAAAGCAAACCAAAATCTTAGAATAGGATTGGACAATTTTGAAATGCTGAATGTATATTGGCCATATTACTAGCCTTGCTGCAGTCTTTCATGCTGTGTTCAGTGTATAAGTTCTATGATATTCAGGCTAGAGAAAGGTTTTCTCTGTGGTCAAGTTTACCGATTCTGGTTGTGTACGAAGTAATAAGGAGATAAGAAATACATATTGCATAAACTATTTTTGTGAATTGTTATTATGAGAAGAAAACCACAGTTAAAAAAACGACTTAATGCTTACAGACTCTAGATTTTTAGACGCTTTTATTTTATTCTCCGTGTATTATAGCAGTTTTTGTATTTAAGAAATGGCTTGCTGGTTTATTTTTTGTTGCTGTAGATATGTTGAACGATAGCATTTTATTTCTTGTGTATAGTGTAAAATGACTTTATTATTATTATTATAAATGAGATTTGTACATTATTATATTCTATTAATCCATATATTATTTAGAAATTGTATAGTTATATTTAGCATAAGGAAGCCCCTTCAATATAAACACCAATAGTAAACAAAGGGTGCTGTTATGGGCATAGGAATAGGCTCATAAAGTGGAAATTAAACATAATGTATTTATTAATCTTAAATAGAGGCTGGCTGCTGTAGTGAAAATAAATAAAAGTGCTATTTAAATTACAGTGTATAATTCTCGACTATTTTCTCAAAAAGAAAGTTTAGGTACATTTTATGGACTAATATTATTATTGCTATGTGTTTTTGTATTTGAATATGTTATTATGATAACATGTTTTAAAATATATGTTAATCATTTATATGTTGTCTTTTATTACACTGAAGATTTATTATTATATATATATATATATATGTATTAATAATAATAGAGCTATTATTTCTTTATTTATATAATATGTACCATGCCCCTGTGTTTTATCTGGTAGACTTACAAACCTCTTTTTAATCTGTCTGTTCATGTTGTTATTAAGTTTTAAAAGCATTTGCAATATGTTTTTATGTGGCTCTGTTCAGTTAGTTCTCGGGGAAGGCATTTTGTTTTTTTCTTTGTCTATTGCTAAATGTGTTTTATTATAAACATGCATACCTCTTTGTGGTTTAGATGTCTCTTGGAAGTTTTTTGGTGCTAAGTTGTTGTCTTGTTTTGTTGTAAATGACTACTATATACTTTTTATTATTTGTCAAGAGAAGTGGGTAGATTTATTAAAGGAACAGTCTCTCTCATTTAGATTTGATGTAAAATGATCAGGTTATCCTCAAAAATTAAACTCAGTGTTGACCAAATGAACTTTCTAGGTTGACATTTAATAGAAATTTGGAGTTTTATAACAATTTGAGAGGTTCATGATTGGAGACTGTCCCTTTATGATCAAAATATCACTATGTAAGAACACATACCAGATGCCAAAATTTTAAAGTAAGGATGTACGAAAGGTGTTTGGTTCAAAACTGATGCAAACCATCTGATTGGCCTTATCGTAGGTATGAGCTGCATATAACTGTTATCTTTATTGTAAATATATATACCAATTTATGAAACATAATATTATTATATGATGTTAAAATAATGTACATGTATATATAATATGTACAGTTTATACCGTCAATTAAAAAACCAGATATATCGGAGAAGGGGTGCAAAGCAAACATAAGATACCAATCGACAACCGTAAATTATAACCATCTCTTAGTAACGCTATTTATTATTATTATGGTGTATATTAGGTTTTATTACTATGTTATCAGTTTGGACAATGTTTGACTTATTAAGGTCTCATGTTAAGACAAATTTAAAAATATTTTAACATCAAATATTGATTATTTAATAATAATTAATTACATTTTATTTATGGATTAATTTTGTTAAAATTGTAAACAATTTTTGTACGAGATTCGTTTACTAACAGAAGTATAATTTATACTGTTCAAAAGGCAGTGTTTATGTGTATGTATATTAAGCATAATTTCTCTTACAAAGTTATTGGTCTTGTGTTATGGCATGGGTTTATATTTAATTCTATAATCTATACTAGAGAGATACATGCATGCAGTTATTTATATATAACCCCTCCCATAATCGATAGAATTCAGATCATATTGTTTCTAAGTTTTATTTAATATGGTAATACTGTTAGGTAGAATTCTTTTTGTTGTTTTTTTTTTTTATTATTTTAAATAAGATCTGTACAGTCGAAGTTTGTTTCATCAACTTCAGAATATGTTGACATTTTAGATCATTTAATTTTTTTGGCAATTTATTTTAAATAATATTGAATTTTGATTCTAACATTCTTTGTAAATCTTGTAAAACAAAAATTCAAATTAAAAGCAATACAAAGTTTAAAATATATTAATGTATGTATGTACATATTTAACAGATAATAATGTGCCATAACGCCCTTAATTATAGATAATACAGGAGCATGCCTCAGTTGTGTTTGTTTGTTAAGATCCAATAAGATTTAAACAAAGATGAGATTTTTTAAGAGGAGTAAAGAAGAGCTAAGTAGATAAACCGACCATTTATGAACTGATACTTGAATTGATAAATTGATTAACGATTTAATTTGGATTAATTAGTTTAATCCCAGGTTCATCTATAGATTAGTAATAAATCTGTTTAATATTAGGGTTCCCTGTAACCTGTAGAAGGGGGCATATTGTTGCCAGAAATAGTCTTAATACAGTCAGTCTTTTACCCAATGGAATGTTGACTTTATTTAAATGATATTAATTCTTATTACTGCATCTAAATATTGGTCTCAATTATAAATAAAATCATCTTTATATAATAAAGAGTTTGTTGTTGGGGTTATGAGATCCTGTACCAAACAGTTAAAGATGACTTCCCACACAAAAACTGTGTGATTAGATGATATATTTGGACTAAAAACATATTCAAACTAATTATCTATCTAGCAAGAAACTACCCCAAACTGCAAGAATCTATATTAAGTATCCTTGTTTGTTAAGTGACTTGATTAAGAGAAGGCCCATGTCAGTTTGTATTTGTTATTACTTGCTGTCAATTTACCATGCATATCGAGGCCTAAGTAAGTTCTTGGAATTATCTGGCAACTTTTTTTTCCACTGTTTAATAGCAGAGTCTTTTGTATGTTGAAGTCTCTCACTGTTCTCATAGCCAGCAAGCCGACAGGTTGCCAGCTAGCAATACCTTACACATGAGTGTTTTTCATGGAATTCAGTATTTTTCTAGTAAGATTGGATGTCTCTACTTTCCATATATACCGTATTTGCCATACTTTTATTGGAAATAACTACCCTATAAATACTTTGGGGGAATGCATCTTTAGCTACTAGTTTGTCCTCAACTACAAAGTTTTGATCAACCAAAACTTTTTTTGTCATCGGTTTGAGAAGTGCTACTTATATTAGTACTTCTCGAAATAAAAAATGACAATTTATTGTCTCCGAGCATGGTTTCATACCCTATCTAATTAAAATGTTTACAATAGAAGCTTGACAAAATTGATGAAAACCAGTGAACCTTGTTTTGGCAATTATATTGAAATTATGGTGAGGAGTAGGCTAGCTTTTAGTCAGTCTATATTACATTTGCTTCAACAGTGAAGACAGTATAGGTGGGGATGATCAAGATAAATAAATTTGAATCTGCTATAGCTCACAAGTAGCAACCAAAATCACCTAGTAATGGGTCAGATATTTGGGGAATTAGTTAAGTGAGGTTTAATGGTCAAGAGCGAGACATTAAGTAATATATGAATACTGCACAGAGTGTTAGCTTGAGTGTTGTTTGAATATATTACATAATATCTCGCCCAAGACAGTTAAGCAGTACTTTCCCACAGGTGCATTTAAATGAAATTGTCACATGAGTCCAACATTTCATCTTGTATAAATAATGTACGATTGGTCTGTACATTATTTGAAGTAATGATACACAAAGGAGGATGTCACATTTGTATTTTAAGCTTTGTTATTGGAATATAAGCTGTTGCTAAAACGATGAAAGAGGGATTGCCAAGCAATGAAACATGGCCACAGCAGTTAATAAAGGTTCATAAGGTTGTCACATTTTCTTTCTTTTGTATTTACTAGACACTGAAAACCAATCAAGGACAACAATTCATAAACTAATTATCAGAATTAATTAAAATCTGATGGTCTCTGGAGGGGTTAGATCTAAATATTAAGGCCACCTGCAGATTTTGTCATGGTCACGAGATGTAAACTGGGCTAGCGCTAACCCTAACCCACAATCCTCAGCAACAATCGTCTGGCCTAACCCTGTTCAATTCTTGTGACCTTGATGAAATCTGCAGGTGGTCTTATTATTTAGATCTGCAAAAGTATAAAAAACAAAATATAGATCTATTATTATCAGATTGCTCCTTGCACTAACATGTACTGCTAATCCAGTAATAACTTAGCTGTTCAATTTTAAAATCGATAGGCTTGTTCATCCCATCAACATTGTGTATAAATTTTAAGACATTTGAATAATATCTTTAGCCATTAGAGTGTCACAAGGTTTTTCAACATGGTCAAGGGCTATAATGCTGAAAGTAATAGGGTTTTTTGTCTCATGAATATAACCACTGGTGATAAATTTTTAGTCAATCGGATGTTGTCTTTAGCCTCTTGCTTGTGGACGAAAGATTGCACAACAGACTGATGTGATGACAATATACAATCAAATTTCAAAGTGAACATATAAAAATGACAAACAGAGCCAAATCATTGGCTATCAACTACTAATAACGAGGCAAAAACTTGGGCACACTTATAAATGTTAGTATAGCAGATATTTTTCACACAGAAGAACAAAAGCTAGGTAATTTAAAATATAAATTGAAGTTTGGGCCTAGAAGAACCTACAGCCTTCACTTGCTGGGGGTGCACCTGTGAGGCTGACCAGGAAAATGTTGTCTGGACTGGTCATTTGGATGGGTTGAAAATCTAGGTCCACCCGTGTACACATAGGCGAGCACATAAAATAACCCTTCACTGCCTGGGCAAAATTATACTGCCTCTCTTTGCACATGTAACCTTAGAAATAAAAATCACCATTGGTTTGTCCCAAAATATCAAAAGGATTAACCCCATTCTATCTCATTTCTTTTATGGATAGCAACATCTTTATATCAGGACAGAAAATAATTATGTCACATTCAATTTTCTTATGATCACATTTATATTCAATCCAATATTGTAATAACTTTCAAGAAAATATTACAGTACCAGGTATCGGAATAAAATTTTATTCCAGTATTTGATCACAAAGTTCAGTTAATCAACTGTCTTAAAATCATTAATTTTTACTAAAACCGGACAGAATTTAAAGATGCATTATGTAAGATTTGGATAAATAGCTGCCCATTCAAAATTAACATATTGAAAATTTCATACAAATTACTTTATTCTGAGCAAAGTTATCACTGATTTGACAAAGTTTTGACAAGATTGACAACATTAAATGATGATGGTTTTCAATCCATTTAAATCTCTGTCATTCAATGACCTAGAGAGTTGATTATAGGCCTGCCATGTAAATAAATGTATAAATATCAATTTATATAACATTTGAAACCAAAATAAAGGGAAGATGTAGCTCTTACGCATCTTCTTTAAAACTCATGTTAATTTTTTTTATCGATTCTAGAACAAATGATAACAGAAGTTGGAGTGCAAAAAGAGGTATCTAAATTAACCAGTAGTTTGACACCAAAACTAAATAACCAGAGTTATCTCCCGTGACGTTTACCCCACCTGTGAAGATGAGGACAGACGGTATGTCACCAATGTAATGAACATGTCAACAACGCATGAAAATAGCAGATGAAAATGAAAGATTTGTTCATATTAGTGGGTCTCTTTGGCCTTTTTGCTACAGGTAAGTAAGAAATGTTTCCAGGTAGATAATAGGTTAATTACAGGTGTAAATTTTAATAAATGGCTTCTCATTTGCTTTTAGTCATAAATTCAGGTCAACTAAAATGGCGGCGTACCTTTTGAATGAGTCAGTGAGAGTTGTTGTAAAAATAGTCTTCGTTTCCAGTTATTCATATTTGCGATAAAGTCTGAAGGTTATTCAATTCTCTTTGTCTGTTTCGCGTAAATTCGTTTACAAAGCATATTTTGAAAATCTTATGTTGTCGAAATGTGATTGTTATCAACAAAATATTTACATCATGTACATGTAGTAATACTAAAAGCAATGAAGTATGTTAAATTCTTTAATTATGATGGGTGTTCGAATTCATCTAAATCTCAACCATCTGATGGTCTTGATTATAGGCTTGTCTAAATAATACATGTACATGTAGTTTATACAACATTTGAAGCCAAAGACCTGCAATAGGCAGATTTAGTTCTTAAATAGTGCATCATTAAGCCAACTTACCTATTCTGCCAGGGGGATCACGGTGGCTAAGTGGGTAAGACCCTGACTCGCTAACCTTGAGGTTGGGTGTTTGATCTCTGCTTTGGCCAAGAAAGTACATCTAGATTTTCTGGCGTGGTTCTCCCTTGTCGGTAATGCAAGACGGGGGGCCTGACAAGGACAACTGTCTAGTCGTTCAGATGGAACGAAAAACCGAGGTCCCACGTACACATTGGAGTGCATGTAAAAGATTCCTTGACAGTTGGAATTCGATACATGAGTAGGTTGCAGTGCCGCTGTCCGGGCAAAATTGCCCTCATAGCACACTGTATGGCGTATGCCTGTCTTCATTTCCTATTCTGTCAGATGATATGTATTGTAATGAAACATGATGCATATCCTACAGTAGGTAGTAAAAGCGCATGACAAAAAGTAGGTAAGCGGGCAATAAGCTAACCTGTTCAGATGGTCAAATTAAGTTACTTGTACACATAGTTTAATCTGTTTAGTTGGACATGCTTAAGCCAGAAAACTTTAAAAAGCAAACCTGGAAAAGATAGGTGGCATAAATTCACCTGCTAACAAGATCTTTTTAAAATATTAAACTGGCTTAACTTTACCATCTGCCTTTTTACATAAGTCTTTCATTACCTTCTGGGGTAAATGAAGCCCCCTTTAGGACATAACTTGCATAACTAATTATAGTATATCATTTAGCTGACAACATGAGAATCATTGGTCAAAGCAGCCCAAACTCTGTGAAGACAAGAATCTCATACATTGACAACCCCAACAGTGTACAGGAATAGTATAAATAGATCTCTCCAATGTGAATCCTATCAGTGTAAGAAACTTGGGAAAACAGATCTTAATAGCGAATTTAATTTTTTATATTGTATTTTGTAGGGTTGGCATTAGAGTGTTATGTTTGTAATAATCAACCAGATAATAAAGATAAATGTGTTAAAACAACCATCCAGTGTCGTGAAGAACAAGATACATGTCTTACACGGATAGTATGGAGAGGTAATCAGTGTTTTATCATTTTCATTGTATCAAGTTATTATTTTTTCCTATCACTGTACAAGGGACCCGCAGTGGCTCATTAATATATCTGTGATGGAGGGTCTGGCAATTCACAGCTTTAAGTATACTATGTCATAGAGGATGCCCTTCTTCGTTATCCCAGTTAGTGAAGAAAAGTAGGATGTTAAACCTCAGTTATCATTTGAAATCAGATCATGGTTTTTGGTATTTTGTACTGTTAGTGTTACCCATACAAATTGTTTTTTTTAGCTCCCCAGTTTTGGACACCAAGAAGTGAGAAGATGCACCATGTATATAAAAGTTGTAGTTCCTCATCAAATTGTACTGAAGAACAGTTTGGATTAAAACTAAGATGTATGAGAGATTGGTATAAAGATTGGGAGTGTGTGGAGTGTTGTCAAGGAGACCGATGCAATTTTTATGTCACTGTAAGGAAAACTTTTATTTTATCTTTAATTGATATTTATTTGTTTATGTTTAAGCTTACCGTATTGGTAGCGTGTAGAGTATCGTCTTCATTAGCCCAGTCAGAGCAGACCAGTAGGGCGTTAAACCCTATTTCATTTCACCACCTAACATACATTTACAGGCATGGAAATAATGATTTTAATTGAACCTGTTAAAATGTCAGGCACTAATTGAACTAATCTGATATTTTTAACTTTATATTAAAACTATCACTATAAACACAAAAAAAGACATGGAAAATGCCTGACCAAACCTGAACTTATTCTGATAATGTCTGTGACCGGTGCCTTATTTCCAGGCTTGTACATGTAAATTATTATCAATTAACAAACATAGCAATTTAATAAATGTAAAGTTAAATGTGGTCATTTTAGAAGATTTAAACATACATTATGCAGGAGCTGAATCTGATTATTGCAAGTCTTTATTTAGGCTTCAGATGTCATAGAAATTATAAATTAGATCTTTATTTACACAACAAGCACAAAATCTACTCTGTAGATCCACTGATGGCTTAGATTTAGCTTGGATTTAAACAGGATTTCGTTGACTGATTTAATTTTAAATGGCGTCGTGAGTGGAGATTATTAATTTTACGTTGACGTCATACCCCCGGATCGAGGCTAAATGATAGAGTGTACGAAGCGAGGCCGCTGTTGAGCGATGTGTGCAATTATATAATAATAAACTAAACACAGATAATGACAAATTATACAATTCCTGGAGATCGTGTGATGACTTATACAGACGGACAGGTCTTCTGTCTTAATAATATCAATAAAAATATACGCCACTGGTGTATACCTATAGATTTATCATAATTGTATTATAATATTATGTCCTATATTCAATTGATTTAATGCATGACCAAAATACAAGTAAGAATGAAAATTTACCCTCTCACTTATTTTGTCCACTTGTTATAAAAATCCAAAAAGGTAAAACACAAATTCAGATATGATGACATCAGACAAATGACAGCAGAGATTATGTAGGTGGAGTTAACGCCTTTCAATCAAACGATCGGTCATACTAAGAATCGGTGAAGATGGAATTCAATCCCATTTCTAGTCAAAAATTACACTGGTGATAACTACACTGTATGTTTAGAATAAAGTAATCTGACTGAATTTTTCAATATATTCTTCTTTCATCATCTATTTTTGAACTGTTATAGCAAGAATGGCTAACTCCTTATAAAAATCTCCCATAATGTATCTTTAAGGCCAGTTATTCAACATGTTCTTGTCCATAAAACAATATAAGCTTTTAGTGTAAATTTAACCCTAGAGGTGAGAGTGCATAAATACAGCATAAATTAAGTGTTAAAATGCAGTGAATTAACATTGTGTATAGTATAAGGTCATTTAAAAAGTTGTTTCACTGAAGAGTTGGGAAATGTTATACAGTTAATTGGCTGGATTTATGAAAACATTTTTGAAACCAGGGCTTCAACTTCCAAGATGATTCCTAGATATGTATACTGTATCTACACACTGTATTACATGCTCTTGTGTTGTATTATAATTTAACTTCAAAAAGAGACCAATAAATAGCTATCACTGACCTATTTCTCACTTCTGTGGTTGGATGGCCAATCTGTATATTATGTGCAGTGTAGTTCATAAGGACTATTACCTCTGCAAGTCACAGGTTTCGATTCCCACTTATAGATGTGTGGCAAATTTAACCAATTGTATTGACATATTTCATTTTATTTTGTCTACTTAAATACATTGAACTAAATGTAAATATGTTTATAATACAAGATATTTATTTAGTCATTATCACTGGTTTCTTCATGCTATTTCTGTATTTCTTTCTTACAGCTTGGATCGACAAACCTAAAGTTCAGTATAACACTGGTGGCACTATCACTTACATTGACTGCAGTTTTTGCTGAACGATTTGGTGCCTGGAGACTTGCCTGATTTTTCTGTTCATACTTTATCTGTATATGTAAATAATTTGTACATAAACATTCCATTTTCTAGACAAATTTTTCATTTATATAAAGCTATGCATAATCACCTTTTAATTATGGAACATTTAACACATATTAAAGATAAAGGCACATGTATATTAACACATCAAATGTCAAAAAAAAACCCCAAGATTCGTGCACATGTACCAAGGTGTAAGATAGTTGAGCACAACAAGAATTATCGAAAAATGATCTTCTATATTTTATTAAATATAAAATTATTACAGAAGATAGATTCCAACAATAATCTACACAAAGTATATTGTCATTACATCATGCTTCTAGGTTTTAAATGGAATACCAATCTTATATAGATGAACTGATTTAATATTCACATGTCTATTGCAAACTTTCCAAGTATTCATTATATTTAGCTTATATACAACTGTACCCATCTTTTCCCTTCTTCTTGAATTAAAAGTGCTTTTTTATTTTTACATATAATTTACATCAAAAGTGTATCAATATGCATTCCGATTTTATACATATTTTATATATTTAACACTTTAATTGTATTCATATTGATTTGGACTATTATGTAGGGAAATCTTTTATAAATTAACTCTTTCATCACAACTTTAAAAATTATCATATTAATAATATTTGGAACTTAACGTGTTATGATTAATAACAATTTCTGGTGAAAATTACGGACCACATAAACATAGACTGATGGCTGTGTATGAACCAATGTCCAATTGTCGTGTTTTTAGGTAATCTAAGGTATTGGTTGCAATATTTAATTATCTATAACAGCATGAATTAGAAGAAATGGAGCGAGTGCTTATTATTTTGCCTAAATCTTTTTTGTTTCAGTTGATAATAAATAAACTAATAATCAATTAAAATACATTTTTATTTTTCAATAATGCAAGGAATGGCGCATGCCTGGTTCATTTAAAAAAAAAAAGAAAGAAATTTAATGTGGCTTGTAAAAATTTATATTTTCTGTAATTCAGAAATAAGAATTTTATTTAAATATGACTTGTACAGTTTTTCATACATTCAGATTTTTTTAAAGAAATAAAAATATTTTATTAGCATCAGGTGTTCCCATTAAAATTGAACTGTTTGATGGTTACACTGTTTAGCAAAGTCAGTATTAGGATGGATCAATTTGGCAAAATGGGGTAACATAAATAGTCTAGCAGCCGGTTGACCAACTTTTAAATATAGTCCATCTAATGTTTTTTTTTTTTACTGATTCGAACTCGATGAGGCCATCCAGGCATCCTTGGGAAAATTTAAATATTCAAGATGGCCGCCATAAGGCATTTTCTGGTTTTTCAACTGGATAAAATTTGTGACCAATTCTCGGGACCTCGGTTTGAGGGGAGGTTTCTATAAAAATTTGATCCACTGATTCCATTTAATGTGGGTATCCCTCCCAAAAGGGATTGTTCCCCCTTGCAATTGGTACAAGGTAGGAGGGGACTGGAAAGGACAGTGCCTAGTCATTTTGATGTTTGGGAAAACAACAGTTTAAACTATATTTGATTCAACAAACTGAATCGGATTGAACAACAGTTAAGGAGCTATATAGTTTCTATCATAATAGTATATTTATACGCCCACATTTTCATGTGGACGTAACATATTGTCATCGCCCCCGTCCGTCCACAATTGTTTGTGAACACTCTACAGGTCACAATTTTTATCCGATTTCAACGAAACTTGAAATATAGGTTTATCTCCCCAAGATCTCGGTTACTTTCGATATTCGCGCATATCGGACAATAACTTCTTGAATTATGGCCCTCGATTGTACGAAAAATCGCGTTTTTAGCTTTAGCTAGAGGTCACAATGTTTATCCGATTTAAAAAAAACCGTGTGAATATATCACCGTTACACCCTAAGGACTGCTGAGTTCGAATTTCGTAAAAATCGGACCGAAACTGACGGACAAAATGGCCAACCCCTCGTTCGCAAATAGTGTCAAAATATTGCGTATCAAGGTTGTGGACCCTCTGGAGGTCACAATTGTCATCTGATTTTGATGAAATTTGAAATGCATGTTTATAACCCAAATATCTTGGTTCCTTTCTATTTTCATGCATATCGAATTGTAACTTCCCGAATTATGGCCCCTGATTTTACGAAAAATCGCGTTTTTAGCTTGTGGTCCCTCTAGAGGTCACAATTATTATCCGATTTAAAAAAAAAAACGTTTGAATATATCACCGTTACACCGTAATTTTGTCTGAGGTTGTATTTCATGAAAATCGGACCAAAATTGCGTAAACATCTGGTATATCAAAGTTGTGGGCCCTCTAGAGGCCACAATTTTGATCCGATTTTGATGAAACTTGAAATGCAAGTTTATAACCCAAAGATCTCGGTTCCTTTCAATATTCGCGCATATCAGATCGTAACTTCCTGAATAATGGCCTCTGGTTGTACGAAAAATCGCGTTTTTAGCTTGTGGTCCCTCTAGAGGTCACAATTATTATTCGATTTAAAAACAAACGTTCGAATATATCACCGTTACACCGTAATGTTTGTTGACTTCGAATTTCATGAAAATCGGGCCAATTTTGATCCGATTTCGATGAAACTTGAAATACATGTTTATAACCTAAAGCTATTGGTTCCTGTAGATATTCGTGCATATCGGACCGTAACTTCCTGAATTTATGGACCTTGATTGAACAAAAAATCAAGTTTTTAGCTTGTGGTCCCTGTAGAGGTCACAATTTTTATCCGATTTAAAAAAAAAACGTGTGAATATATCACAATTACACACTAAGATCTTGGTTCCTTTTGATAATCGCGGATACCCAAACTTAATTTCCTAGATTATGGCCCCTGATTGTTCGAAATATCGCATTTTTAGCTTGCGGATTCTCTAGAGGTCACATTTTTTTCCGATTTTAAAAACCGTTTAAATACATCACCATTCCACCATAATGAAGATTAAATCGTATTTCGGGAAGATCGAAATAAAATTGCCCGACAAAATGGCCGCTCTTTGTATGCAAATTGTGTAGAAGTGTGTAATACGAAGGTTGTGTACCCTCTAGAGGTCACAATTTTTATCCGATTTTGATGAAACTTAAAACATATCTTTATACTCGTATCCCAAAGATCTCAGTCCCTTTTGATATTTGCATATTTCAGGCCATAACTTTCTGGATTTTTGCCCCTGATTGTACAAAAAATCGCGTTTGTTTTTAGCTTGCAAAATGTGGGCGTATCCTGCCTGGCAGCCACTGGTTACTAGTATATCAGTAAACCTTTAGTTCAGATAAGATTTGAGGCTAAATTCCTAACAAATATTTGAATTGAAACAAAGCATCTATATGTAATTTTCTCACTAAAATAGATGTTATGGCAAAAACTAAATAATACTGGCAATGATAATAAAGAGAAAAAAAATCAAATGGAGTTTAATAGCTAACTGTTCAGTATCAACCGGGATAATGAAGATGTACATATGCAATGCATTATGCTATAGGGTGAGTTTGGCCCAAACAGCGACGTTGCGGTCTACTTTTTATGTTGAATTCGAGCTGTCAAGAGTTCTTTTACGTCCACGCCACCGTGTGCATGGGATCTCATTTTTATATCTCATCCAAATAACTAGACGCTGCAAATGACAGCCACCAACCCCTGTCATGGACCACTGTCATAACTATTTTGTTGTGCTTCAGCACAAGAATTGCAATAAAGATTTGTATGGTGTCTCTGAGCTTTGAGATGTTGAAAACATTGAATATTCTCAAATTTGCGAAAATTGTGCATGCATTCTGTGATCCTTTTGTTAGAGAGGACTATTTTTAACCATAATTCATATTTATTGAACATATTATAGTTTATATGTAAATATGTTAGCCAGCAGGGCCTTCGCCCCACCTGTCAGGTTATTGACCAAGGCCCACACAAGTAGACACGAGCGCGCCAAAGGCGCGAGCGTCCGAGGGAGGTCGGGGGGGGGGGGCTCTCCTCACAGGCAAATTTTGAAAATTGACAACCGCAAACCCATTTTCCAAGCAATTCAGACCAAAGCAGTCTTCTTTTTTTGTGTTGTTTGTCAGTCATTTTTTTCCCTATCTTTTCTTTCTCCTGTCCTGTGTCCTGTCCTCTCCCTCCTTCTTTCTCCCCCCCCCCTTTCTTTCTCTTTTCTTTTTTCTTTTTTTTTCTTTCTCTTTTTTCTTTATAGGCTAAGGCCCACTTTTTTTTAATGAGGTTAGGCCCACCTGTCACGGACAGGTGGACAGGTGGGCCCAGTCCGACACTGTTAGCCAGGTATGGTAAACATAGCTGTTAGACAGGGGGAGTGGATGGCCGAATGGTTAGCATGTGCTCGCTGTATCATAAGGTCTGTCATTGAGTCAACTGGCGTGGTTTCGAGTTCCCGATTGCACGTGACAAGGAGTAGGGTCGTCTGTCCAACCTCGTGGGTTTTCTCTCCCTTTCCCCCTTTTGCATAGCGATTTACGTTGAGTTTTTGGTGTAGAATCGAAGAAAAGGGCTTAAAAATACATTTTTTGCCAGGTTTGGATGAATATTCATGATTTTGAGGCGGAAGAATACAAGAGTTGAGCGGTTGGTTAGGTTGAAATTACACTTTAAATATCTTTACTTCCAGTTTGTGTATCTCAAGTTTTCCATATGTGCTTTTGAGCAAGACGTTGCCGCATGTTGCCCCATCTGTGGCAGGAAGCGTTCTACCTAATGAAAATTTGGGAAACAGTTAGAGCCGATCTAAGAGACGAGAATTAACATTAAAGTCAAGGTGGAAATCATTAATGATCTGTGGCTTGTCTAAGAACACGTTGGACGTGTGGAGGCTCACCATCCCTACCCCACCACTTTTCTTGAACACGATATTTGGATATTCAATTGAACATATATTGACTCCAAATTAGCAGTAATTGGATTTTGTGCTTGAATTGTAACCGGGTATTTTATTGTTTATTTAAAGGGACAATAACACTCTTGCTGGCTTGAAGCTCCAGAAAATAAATAATATCTCTATCTAAGTACTCGATGTTTAAGTGTCCTACCTGTTGTGTAAATTATCCATTACATCCTATTTTACTTGTCCAGAAGGTTCGAAAATATTTTTAAATCGAAGTTTCATTTGAAAAGGTTTACGTTAGACGTTTCAAACCATTATGTTGAATTTTCAAAAATTTTTGAAAAGGTGAGTTAAGATGAAATTTATATCATCAATTAATTGAAATATTGTAAAATAGTATAACAATTTGTTGACCTGAATAAAGATTGGGACATATTATTCAGTTACAACAAGAGTGGTATTGAGCCTTTAAAAAAGTATCGATAGCATAAATCTCCCAAAATTATTATGGTTCATCTAGACATTGGCTTGCTTGCTTGACCATTCAACGTTTGGTTAAATTTACCAGAATGGAGGACAACAACCTATGGCTTTTTGTTCAAAGCCCCGTTAACTTATAACGACTCGTTAACATGGAGTTAACGGATTGTTATCTTTAACGGAGAGAAAGTCTGTTGATGGAAACCCCATTAACTTTAACATTCCGATATTTTGCATTTTGCCGTTACATTCTGTTTAACAATGGTATTAGTTAACCCCAGCAAAAAGTAATAGATCACCAGCGTAGTTTTCTATAGAATTCTATAGAACATTCTAGAGGGTTGTTGGTGGTGGGCGGTGGGGGCGCTATCCCATTTTCTATAGGATGAAATTGTATAGTATTCTACAGAATTTTGGGAGCCTGTAGAAAATAACGGCTCCAAATATGCTACAGTTTCTGTAGTGCAAATCCTATAATTTTTCCTATAGATTTATGCTAAAAAATTTATAGGAAAATACTAAAGTATTCTATAGAATTTTCTTATAATGTTTTCTGTCGGAAATTCTACAGTTATCTTTTTGTCTTTAATCAAGTTGTGTGAACAGACTGCTCAGTTGTCTCACTTTCTTCGGTTTCTTGTTAATACTAATTTTTATGAAGTTGTTATACATGTACACCTACATTGACTTTAAAAATTTAATATTCAGCCAATGACTAATCAGTTTTCTCTTGGATTAATTTAGTCAGTCGTTAGCTAACG